GCTCTGTAAGGAAGTGGCAGATTTTTTCCGGCTGTGTATTTTCAAATTCTAGAGCACTCAAGCTGGTTTCTCCAAAATGACCTACCCCACCTTTAATGTTTAACCACAAGCAGTTCCACCTGCACAGATAGGCTAACGTTACTTAGAATGAACTAAAAGTATGTCAAAGGTCATGGAGTCCTCCTCCTGTTAATACTCTGTTTGTACAACAAGGCGAAGAGATAAAGGAGTCCGGTGAAGGGACACTTGTAAGGGTAAAATGCACTAAATGTATTTAGTTGGGATCACTTTTTAAGTGTGTTGCCATGGCACCCCAAAGAGCCCATTGAGATTACATCCAAGGAATATGTTTGGTGTGTTTTGTTTTTTAACCGTTGTAAATGTGTAAACTTCCCTTGAACAGCTGTATTCCCTCTGAGAGGCCATGTATCCTGTCGACCTTCCAGCTGTGGAGGACACTGATCTGACATCTGTATCTGAACTCTACCTCTCCTCTCTGGAGTCAGGACCTCACAATGAGGAGTGGTTTGAGTTATCACACACTTCAAAGGTATGATAATAAGGCCTGCACAATAATCAAACTTTTATCAAAATCCGAACAGGGACCAGTGCGATATCCAAATTGTAGTAAGCGCAATATAATAATGATGCTTTTTTGAAAATATATCATTACTATATAGGCAGAATTGTCCCCCTTATCAACATATTTTACATCTATTACTTCTTACATGGTGGCAAATATCTGCACACAAGTTTGGTTCTACTGGAGGTTCATCATAGGTTCATCACTGCTTGTAGCACTTCGGGATTTGACTTCAAATATGAAGTGCGTTACAAATGAAACCCATCATTATTATTAAAAGCAGAATAGGGCCTTTTGAAGTTGTCTCTCTGTCCCCTCAGGTAGCGATCACAGCAAACAATGTGAGGCGGTTGCAGCTGTTTGATGACGATCAGTCCGACTGTACGCTGCTGGCGCTGCACCCTCCTAATGATCCAACACAAGGTGTGGAAGACCCCCCCTCGCCCCCACAGACACCCTGAAGACAGACCCTAACTCTGTGTGCTCTGCCTTCCAGTGCTGGCTCTCTACCTGCAGGACCAGTGGTGGAGTGTGGACGACGCGTTGAGGACATGCTGCCAGGACAGAAACGGCTTGATCTCGGTAAGTCCTTTTACATATCTGTTTGTATGTCAGCATCACTACAACACACAGTAATACACACACCAGGCTTCCTCTACCGGTCTGAACAGTGTGGGAGCAAACATCTGTTTATGCAATCTATTCATCTGCACCATTGTTAACAGTAATTAACTTTATTTATCTATCTATCATTTGACAGATTCTAATACAAAATATATCATCTTGTAATTGGAAAGGGGTCCCTATGTTGCTTTCAGGTTTCCTATGTGTAGTCTGTGTCTCTACTGTGACATGTTCTCATACTGCCTGTGCTGCAGCACGTCTTTTCACCCTCTGTCTGAAACCAGAGAGGGGAGTGTGTGGGAGGGGAACAGGAGATTTGAGCCTTTGCACACAAACCTATAGAACTGTCACGGAGGTGATCTCTGGGCCCATAGATCTCAGCCTCCGTTACGGGTTGTATAGCTTCATTGTTGTTGATTGTGTTCATCTGGTGCCCTGTGTTGTCTCCTCCCCCCTCACCTGTGTCTTGTTGGTTGATTAGTCTGTATGTATTTAGGCTCTGTGTTTCCTGTTTGTGTGGGGGGGAGATCCTGGTTGCTGGTGACTGTGTTCACATGAGACAGTGGCCGTTTCTCAATCGCGAGGATGCTTGCTTGGTAGCACATGTCTTCCAAGTCACCTCCTTCAGAAGCGAGGCAAGAATCCTTCCTGGCATTCGGAAAACGAAGAGTGGAACAGGCTAGCAAGTGTGCAGGTGTGCGTCATATGAGAGGCCCCGCCTTACATTTTCCGCCACAGATTTGGGGAAATTGGTCAGTGCGCGAAGCATTGTGGGGATTTTAAGGACGCAAAGTCTACCCATGTGCAGCCTCGAAATTACCCCCAAACCAAGGACGCGGCCTCGTGGAATTCCAAGTATGCTGGAGATTGGAACAGTCCTTCGGCGGCACTCGATGACGTAGCATCCTTGAAATATTGGCTTGGAAGCCAGTTTCCTCGAGATTGAGAAACGGCCAGTAAGATTGAGGCTGTGTCATGTACCACAAGGAGTAATACATGCCCACACCAGGTTGCATTGGAACTCTCTGCCTCCTTGCTTGGTCGGGCCGCTCAACGGTCAGCTTCACAAGAACACACTACAGGAAAGGGAAAACCCCAGAAGCACAATAGCCTCTTTTAGGTTGTGTGTTCCATGCTGTTTACTGTGATCCATGTGTGTGTTGTCCTGCAGGTGCAGTCACTGATGGAGCGAGTGATCGTGTTCCTGCTCAGTCAGGTGCTGGAGAGGTCCCCTCAGGAGAAGACGTTGTTCTCCCTGCACCCCCGCACAGAGAGCTGCAAGCTGCTGTGGAGAGACAGCCAGGCGGTGGGCTTCTACACCATCAAACACAAAGGTAGGGGGGGGGGGGAGAGCGATGTCAACACAATCGCACCAGATAAATTGGGCCAAATAATACTTTTTAAAAATAAGAAAAATCAAAGTTTTGGAAGTTACACAAATTCATATCAACAATAGCTTTACTAGCAACAAGAGGTCATAACCACGAGTATGGATTACACACTGGGGAAGATGATGCAAGCACAACATGCAAACCAGATGTCTTCTTGTTTATCCACAGCAAGACGTTTTAACTGAGTTCAGGTTGGTGTTTCTTAGTTTGAGTGATGGAAGAAATATTCACATTTTTTACTTTAGTCAAAGTAAAAATACATGAATGTCAAATGACTTCACTACAAGTCAAAGTCCTGCATTCAAAGTCTCACTTACGTAAAAGTACAAAAGTTATATCAGCAAAATGTACTTAAAGTATCAAAAGTACTCATTATTCAGAAAAATGTCCTCCATATGTGTTATATTATTAATATAAATTGCATTCGTTAATATTGTACCATCTAGTAGCATTTAATAACAAACACAATTTTGATAAACAAAATACTTTCTTTGTTGAAGTTGCTGTAATATATTGGATGATTTGGCTTCTTTGTGCCTAAATGATTCCCTCTTTAGTTCCTGATGATGTTGGAGGGTTTCCTACAGGGCTGGCAGGCCTCCTGTACAGGTAGAGCTGTGTCCTGCAGAGCCTGACTCTTCCTCTGTGGTGGTTCTCTGTTCAGGCAGCCTGTGTGGCGGCTGGAGCGGCCTCTGCTACCTGCTGCCTGCTCTGGACACGCTGCTGGTGAGGAGGGGCTGGAGGAGGAGGGGCCTGGGGCTCCTCATGCTGGAGGACTTCTGCTCCTCCTTCTCCACAGAGGAGATCCTGGGAGTCAGCGCTCCGCTGTCCCCCAGCATGGTGGCAGGTCAGCTGACCCTCTCTATATCAGAGCCAAATGATCCAATTCTGCTTCTATTCCCTGCATTCTGTTATTTCTTATCTAGGTGAGATGTCGTCATATTTGGCAGAAGAATACATCATTATTTATAGAATATAATATAATAACTGTAGTGGACATTTTGTTAACATGCATCTCCTTTGACTCTTTTGAGCTACTCTAGCAATCCCTGATGTACTGTACAAAGGACATCCTGGTCTTTCCAGTGAGAGGTCATTGGTTCAAATTGCATGCTGGGAAGTTCCTCTCTCTTTTCATCCAAAATGGCTGGCATACCAAAAACAAAATGTTATAGAAGCGGTTTTTTTCCTCGGTTCCCAGCAATATATATATATATATATATATATAGTATAAATATCTATACAATACACAATCAGCAATATACAAAATATGTTCAAATACACCGTTATAGCAACAGCTAAGTTTACTAAAACAAGTTATATGAACACAAGATACTATGTACCTAATAAGAATAATATTAATAATAAAAATAAAAAATATGAGCTCACAGCAACATTCAACATTAGACTATACTTTAAACACACATTCAAAGCCCAAAGCCACAAATTATACAAGAGTGCAAGTTATTTTTTTTAAATAAAATATAAATGCAATGAATTAGAGTTAAGTAAAATATATACAAATTGTCCAAGGTTATTTAAATATGGTAATAACACAAGGTAAAAAGACTTAGAAGCTCTCATAGCCACATGCACACTGTTATTGTTTATTTGAATCTCTCATGGCAGTAAACCCAGAAGTCTCAACATATACATCATGTCCTCTCCTCCAGTGTGCAGGAGTTTTCTGCAGCAGCATGAAGAACATCTGGAGAGTCTGTACGAGGTGGAGGCTCCGGGGGGGTGGACCCAACGACGAAACATCTGGCTCAGCATCCAGCTGGGACGCTACACTTCTTGTACACACAGATATGTATCAGCATTGTTTAGTGTTTAGTGTACATCCTTGATCTGGTTCTATGAACTTGTGTTCTCTTAGGTATCAAGGAGGAGAGTGGTCCGACATCAGGAGACACTCAGAGGAATAATGACTCCTCTCTGAAGGTGGGTGAACTAAATCACATTCCTGGAGATTCAATAAGCAATTCTTTATTTGGAGTTATTATTATGGAGTATTCATATTAAAAAATGAAAACAATTATCATCATTTTTGATCTATGTAGTAATCCGTCACGTAGGTTTCTTTCCAGTATAATTATACACAACCAAAGCATAAACAGGTACTATATTCAAGCAGAGGATAGGTGTCTCTGGGAAAATATAATGCTTCCACTTTTTCAAAGCTTCCTCAAATGTATTCTCCTGAAGCCTCTAGAAGGAAGTGATTCTTTCCATCACTAAGATGTTGTGTATAATATTGAACCATCTTCTGAGTCCAGTTTATGCCATTTTCTTGTCATGACTTTTCTAGAATTTACACTCAGTGTTCCAAATACTGGTATTTTGTTTTTGGGTTTACAAAAAGTTCATCCCAATCAAAGTAGATTTTTGTCTCCAATACCTTTCTAATTCTGATTGAATCTCTTGCAAAACAACTCCCTCTGGAGAGAACATTGGGGACTCCCCACTACAGGGAAGGGAAAACAAAATAGGGTCCTTTCAAATAATGCTTTGTTTTGAACCGGTGAATGCAGTCTTTCTTGTTTGGCATAGACACTACAATGCACAGTCCCAAAAATGAAGCTTGAGTTGAATCAACACGTCCAACAATGGAAAACCAACAATCATGAGCTTTAACAGAGTAGAACATATTGGTGTTTGTTTCTGTTCACTTTGCATGAATCTCTTTTGGTTGGAAGTGGGTTAGGGTTAGGGTTAGAAGGGTTAGGGTTAGGACACCAAGAAGGGTTACTTCTTGGTGTCGCTGAAGTTTGGCTCCACCTCCTTCCCGCTGGCATTGAACTTCCTCTGGTGGACGCGGCTGGGCCTGATGTACAGCACACAGAAACGGGCCTGCCAAGAACAGACACAGTGAGGCTCGTTTCATCGGAGTGTGAGGTTCAGTCTGTCTAAAAGACTAACGCTGACAGTGATTAGGTAGTCTTCGGGAGGTTACATCTCAGACTTTCCTTTTTTTGTATCTAATGCAGAGCAGTGATTGCAGGCCGGACCTGACCCCAGAGAGCTGCTCTGATGTGGACGCTCCACTGGTGACGGGCTCCTCTGCACAACAACTGGAGCTCTGTGCTCAGCGGCGAGCAGGACGCTCCCCCAGCAGCAGTGTCTCTGGAACAGGATGTTGTCCTGCAGCCCACGCTGAAGATCTGGACTCTGGACCTCCCTGCAGACCCCCACAGTCCCTCAACACAAAACAAGCCCTGAAACCTAAACCCTCTGTATCTGCAGAGCCTGGAGAGGTAGAGGAAGAACGAAGGAATGCCAAACGAATTGGAAGGACATGAGAATACAGACACAGTAGAAAACTGTTTACAGTATACAGAGGAGGCTGCTCTGTCCTCCTGTACGCAGGTGACCTTTACAACTTTAACTTTCTAGGCTGAGATATGGATTCATTGAAAGGACTGTTATGGCAATTATGGAATTAAAGCTTAATACAGTGTAATCCTAATGAAATGGGAACTGCTGCATCCTGGAAATGGCATTTAAATGTATGTGTGATAAAAAGATGTGTTTGGACAAGGGGGTTTTATGACACTACAGGAAGAGAGAATGAGTGGAAGGAATTTATGATAGGGGTTATCTGTATATTCCATTGTTCTTTGTAGGGTGTGAGTTTTCGCATAAAGTACTCTGCCATGGGGCAAACACCTGGCCTCACATGATGTTGTGCTGTCATGTGAGTTATCTTTGATGTTTCCCTATAAGGCCCCATTTACACTGAGACGGAAACGAAAATGAACCGAATTCGATATCAAAAAAGTCTTCCGTTCACACGCAATCGGCTCAAGAAACGTGTCCGTCCACACGAGACCGCTCGACCCGCTGGAGACGCTGTAGTACATATCCCGGGCCTGTAAGTGGCGCTGTACTTCAGCCACAAAATACACCAAAACATCGAAGAAGACCTCCCAAGCATGGTTGCCATGGTAGCCTGGTTGCCCTTCTGTATTTTCGCCGGTCAACATGTCGGTTAAAGTTTAAATCTTCCCGACAAAATTAGAAATGTGCCGGTCAAAGGTCTTCTTTGTTATTTATTGAGCTTTAAAACAAATTGATAACGACTATATAATCATATAATAATAAAAAACGGAGTCTCTCTTTTCCTCCCCCTCTCCTGACAGCCTGTCAGTATCGTCTCATGCAGCTGGCTGATCCAGTAATGAGGGACCCGACAGTAAAAATAAACATATTTATAACTAGTTTAGCTAGTTTGAGATGTAATTAAAATAGCTAAGGGTGATGATCTAACTTGAATTGTGTGTTTTGCTCCGTTCACCGCTGCATGACAGCGGGAGGAGCTGCAGGTGAGCAGTGTCTCCGTCCTGTCAGATTAGACTTCACTCGCGTTTATGTCCATATCGAGAGAAAGATATATAGGCTAATCTGAATTCAGTGTGCAGTTTACTTTGACGCGGGGGTGAGCTGCAGAGGTGGGGAGAGGCGGGGCTATTGCCTCATCATTATCAGAAAATTATCTGATAATATATAATATATATCTGATAAAGGGCTTACACACGGAGCCGTTGGACCCCCCACGAGCGTTGTCGTATGCCGTT